ACCAGGCGCCTGGAGGCACGCTTAGGTTCATCTTCACCCCCTCCCCAGGCCCAGGTCCCTTAAAATTTTTCGGGAGGGTCGAGGCACACACCAAGTATTGTAGTATATGCAATAGAATATAATGTATATATGTATGTATATGTACATATACATATACACACATACATACATACATACATACATACATACATACATAATGTGTGTGTATATATATACGCCATGTGTTTACACACATGTATATATATATATATAGGTGCAGCTTTACTATGTGTAGACGTCTTGTGATGTTGTTTACTGACTAGCCTGTTTTTGTTCTAATCATGCTCTGACTGCACTGAAGGCAAGGAGCACCATCGGTCAATGTGGCGGACAACTTCGAAACAGAAGCGCCTCCGCCGGCAAAATGCGGGTACTTGCCTAGAGGTTAGGTTAGGTGTTCTCACCAAGGAGGCACTCGCGCAAAACTTGTCCTGATTTGGATGCGTACTGCTGTTTGATACCTCGGTCTTGAGAGGGCAACACGTGGCCATGAAGCCACCGAAGCTGCAAAAGGAGCTGTGGAATGCGATCACGCACGGCATGATGTTCTTCTTGTGGCCCGGCCAGCTGGACAGTAAAGGGAGAACGTAGTTAGATAACTTGTTTTGCCACCCGCATCATCAAGGCCTCATGGTATGTAAGAAGCTGAGATCATCCAGTGGGTGCTTGAGTTGGCATCTTCAAAACCGTTTGGTGAAGTTCTTTTCGGGAAAGGATGCTAATGTACCGTAATGGACCATAACATACTGTAATATACTAGATTACTAGATCATACGAGCGTATGCTGTAATATACTAGAGTGTGCGATAATTGTAATAAAATGATATTTCACAAACTATTAATTTGCAGGTCGCTGACCCTGTAGACCAGTTGAGCGCCAGCTTGTTCTCTTCAACCAATCAGATCCAGGTCCCGATCTGTCACGACTTCTGTTATAGTAACCCCCTTTCTGTAGCCTTATAGTACCCTCATGGTGGCCTTATCATGACTTCTGTTATAGTACCCTCTTGTGCAGCCTTATAGTACCCTCACGGTGGCCTTATAGTTGTTGCGCTCTTCGGTTGTAGCATGGCCGGTGAGGGATACTCAGGGAGAGAGGAGAGAAGCCCTAACCCCCACTATATATAAGCCCTAATTCTACGCCCTCAACCCTACACCCTGAACCCTTTTTCCCTGAGGCCTGGTAGTCCCTTTGCTTCGCTTGTTGACATCCAGTCCAAGGCTACCTGTAAAAGATCTTAGGTGTTTAGGGATTATAGGGTTTATCGAGTTTAGGGTGTGTGGGTGTAGGGTATGCAGGGTATGTAGGGTTTAGTGTTTAGGGCTTATCGGGTTTAGGGTACATGCGGTTTAGGATACCCTTGAGCAGCAGGACCTTGCTCGAGGCCTCAGCATTTTCTAAGTTTAGAGCCAACAGGACTGCTTTACGGATCATGGGTTTAGAAACGGTGTGTGTGGCTTTTCCGTTAGGCCTTGAACGGTGTATGGGCTTGTCGGAAGGAAGGAACCCTTTGTACAGAACCCTGAGTAGTGGAATCCATTGTATAAGTACCCCTACAAATCAGGTCCCCTAATTAGTCCTTATAGCTGTGTCAAGCTTCAATACTAAATTCATTCGTTGGTGTCCGTCAACCAGGCTTCTGTCACGGCCTCTTGCAAGGTCTCTCTTCGGGACCGGCCATCTCATGTACCAGGTGGAACGGGGAGATAAGGCTGCCTAGGTAAAGGATGTACCGGAGATCTGTTTCGCGCCACCTTCTGCATTCGCAGTAGCCGGGGCGCTGTGCATCAGCCCCCCGTAGATCAGAGGTTGAATCAGAGAGAGTCTCCCCTTAAAGTCGAAGCTTCTTGTGCTCACATCATGCACGAATGAATGCGATTCCGGACAGCTGAATCTCCAGGCTGCCGACAGCCCAGTTCACCACATCTGGGGCATTGCAATCTTCGGATTTGGCCTACTCTTTTGCTTCGGGTCCTCCACCTTGCAGCTCGGATTGGAACAAGGCTTTGTTTGCACATGTTGCGTGCGAAGGCCCGGTTGTGATGTACCCTTGATCTGTGAGCTGCTCGTGCTCACGTGAAACTTGCTGCAGGTACCATTCCCTGTTCATGTACCCGGTTACTGCGCGGGTCCTGCAGGTGCTGGACCATGCTGCAACCCAGACCAATATTACGTGGTGGTTGCCTTCCCACACGGATTTCGGTGCAGTGTCGCAATGCTTTTTTGCCACAGTTGGCTTCACCGTATGACAGAGGCCGAAAGCCCAAGTCTTCGCATAGATTCTTGTTGTGAAGAGATGTGCAAAGCCAGATGGCAGGGGCCGATCTCCAAACACATGCAACATCTGCTCGCCAAGACTGCTGCGGTCGCACCGAAGGCAATTTATTTTCTCATCGCTGCAACGTACACGCCATTCCTGCTCTTCTACTCGGAGACTCGGCCAGGAGTTTTGACATACCGGCTTTGCGTCTAAAGCCGTCGTGGCTACATTCTCGCTTGTGCAGCAGCCCAGCTACATGCCAAGGACACACCAATGCATGGTGACCTGCTCAAAGCAGCCACTTGGCTGAGATTGCCGGTCAATGTATACTATATACTGTGCTGCGTACTATATACTATATTCGTGTTATGTACTGTTATGTAAAAAACTATACACTATACGCTGTGCACACCACGGCGAATGAGATGCGAGATCGAAGCCAGTGAATCGGCTCGTGAGGAGATTGGTTTAGTTTAGTGAATGGGCGGCTGGGTGGTGCAGCTACTTGATCGGGACAGCGCCATAGTGTAATTCGCCAGTGTTAAGGGAGCTTCGCGCCGAGATTGGATTACAGCATACTTCATGCCTTAAGTAAGGAGTGGATCCTATGCTGGCTGGGCATCGTGACGCACATCTGCTCTCAGTATTTTGACTGGGGTACATCTGCGCCTTGTCCGGGCAAGAAGGGGCTTGGCATGCTCTTGTGGCATGCTACCGTAGGGTATGCTCGACTTTGCAGCCCCCACCCAACATGGGTGAAAAAGAAGCCCTAATCGAAAGGTTCCCTACCTCACCGGCGAGCTGCTGCTGTACCTGGCCATGGGCTGGGCGGCCGTGTTGGCCTGGGACGCTCTTGGAAGAAAACGGCCAGTCAAGATACGGGGCATTACCACCCTTAACAGGGATTTTGTGGACTTCGACTAAATAAGGCCATGATTGCAGGTCTTCGTTCCCGGGCGAGAGAGGTCCTTTCTGGCTGAAGCGTGTTTCAGCTTGCATCAGTTGCAGTTTCTTCAATTTTCAATGTGCAGGGCAAGTTTGCTAGCAGGCGTCTGACCGCAGAGCAGGGTAGAACACAGCCCCACTTCAGCACCCCGGCTTTTGCACCCGCACCCAGGATACTTTCATGGCCCAGCTTCCTCAAGCTTGCTGGTCTTGGCTCATGGCCGGTGGGCCGCTTGGTTGAGGCAGGAAGATGTTGTCTCTTCAGTGTGTGGCGATGATAGGATCATTTGAAGTTGCACCTACAGTTTCCCGGGGTTTCCCAGCATGATGGCCATGTTCTCGAATGATGCTATTCGAGTAGCAGTGCAAGGGCCAGTTGCAGATAGAGGCAGGAACCCAAATGGGTGTGTGTGTGTGTGCCTCCGTCTGTTGAAGTTTGACCTAAGTTCTATGGTTCGGAGATCTTTATCTTAGTTTGTGCTTTGAGAGCTCATGCCTGGCGCGGTGTGACAGGAACTTTGTGTTATATGTTATGAACGTTTCGCTTGCTGTTGATGTTTAAAGAGAACACACATATACATATGCACATTACATATACATGTGTACACACAGCTTTATGAACCACAGAGTGTGCACATGTCTACACCTGCATATATGAGGGAGAGGTAATCACACATTGATTCTGTGTGGGTGTGTTGAGATGCACATACCATGTGGTACACGATATGGTATGTGCACACAGGAAGGAAGCCTGGC